AAACAGACTGATATTTGGTAACGTTTTCGTTATGATTTGTAATTTCCATGTTTCTTTCTCATAATAGTTGCTTAATAAACATTTATTGGGAGAATATTTCACCATAACATGAGCAATGAGGCTGGTGTTTCTGGGCCAAAGTTCTTGTTCAATGTCTTGTCACATTTTGGTTATTTTTTAGAATATGTCGTTTTGTGTCAAGATTATTTTTACATCTAGATGAACTGTATAACTATCTTTAGAGATTTAATTAAGAATTGATGATTCATCCTGCCTTCCCATGCACTATCTGTTCAAATAATATCTGTGGTATTACGACAAAATGCTTCTTAATTTGACTTCAATACTCCCCTACAGAAATTCAGATTATCCAGAGGGTAATAAATTAACCTGGTGTCATATTAATCTACCAACATTGAAAAGTGAGTCATCAGATTATTTTCAATTCTGAATTTTTACTGAGACAAGATCAAATCAAAGGAAATTTTGTATTTCTGACAGAACACAAACACAAAAAAAACCCACTTAAGTTTCTGGAGTCGGCGGGCAAAGAGTTCCTCACCGGCTTTGTAGAGGACTTCATGGAAAAAAATGACGTGAAATTGGAGGAAGCAGAGAAGAAAAAGGTTTACGATTTAAAATTCTTGGTGGATTCTATACGACAGAGACACCATGAGGCAGGTCAAATCTTACTCCAAACCTTCCTTAACACAGACAAAAATGCCACCAGTGTAGAAGGTAAGACTGGACTCATTTACAAGGAATGTCTTAAATTTTTCAGAATCTACTTGGCTCTAAAGCCACTCCACTGTTCTCCATAATCCCCTCCTCCTTTCATTACTAACATATAATTTTCACTAAACCTATCTCTGATTTTATTAGAGGCTGCCTTGTCATTTGTGGGAAGAATCCAGTTTCCAATTAGCTGAGAAGCTGAGTCCTTCATAGGACTCAACTCATCGTAATAGCTGGCTGCAGACACTTTGCAGTAAGGGGTACCTGAACCTGAAATCAGATGTCTGTCACTCGACACTATGTGACTTCATCCAAGTTGCTCAACGCTCCCTAGGCATCAGCATGAGCATCTGTGACATGGGGACACCTTCAGAAACTTTGTCACCATCTTTGTAAGGCTAGGGTTGTAAATGGCAGGCGTAGGCTAGCAATTCCCAAGATTTTAGCTCTCATTCAGAACTCTCCTTCGAGCTCTAAATACCTTTAGCTGTAGCTACACATGTCAACAGTTCCACCTGAATATTCCCCTGGCTTCACAGAACTAAGATATAGGAAATGAAACACTCGATTCCCTTATCAAATCTATCCCACTTTTATCGCCTTTCCATCTCATTAGACAGGACTATAGTCCACTGAGTTTCCCAATCCGGAGCACAACTGTGTCTTCACCAAGGAGTCATAGCTCTTAGCAGAGTGCCAAGCACAGGGCAGACACACAATAAATACAGAATGAAAAGACAAATGGAAAACATGCACCCAATGAAGATTAGTTACCATAATTATTATTTGGCTTATAATATTTAGATCTTTCCAGTGCTTACTTATTTGTGTGAGTTACAAAATGTGATCAAGAGAACATCCATCAGGTGTCCAATATACTGAAATCTTTCAAAACTTTGACTTGGATTGAATTATAAACATTATTAGAGTCTGTAATAGCCTCAGACCCAAGTTCACCCATGATGGACTCGATTCGCTATAGAGTTTAACCTGAAACCCCAGTCTTGAATTCTAGAGTTCATCAATAATAATAAGCAATAATGAACAAAATGCAACATAACTATAGAGACCTCACTTGCTCAAGTGTGCTTTTCCAACAAGCCCTTCTCTATGGAGGAAGCACCTGCTCGTCTGATAGATGTCTGCGATGCAGCCAGGTTGGTCCTTGTGCAGGTTCATTACTGTCTCTTAAACTTGATGTGGGATGAAACTAATTTGGATTTAAAACCAAAATCAGGGATAATTCAGCAAGTAGGAATCAGAACTGAATTAATGGGAACTTCAAAATGATTTTAGCAACTCCAGGAATCACAATGGGCCTTAAACTGAAATAACCTATCGCCTCAGCAGTCTGCGGCAGGCAGGAGGCAGATATGGGCCCTTTCATGAAGCATCCAGCAGCCCCCCCGGGGCTCTATCTTTACGTGGAATCTCCAGAGGACTCCCAGGCCACCCAGAGAACACTGGCCCAGCAGGCCAGGAAGCTGGGCACACTTACGTGAAAAGCCCTGGCCAGTCCTCTTGGTCATGTATACAATTCTGAGGCTTTCTAGTACAGTGCTAAGGAGACCGAGTTGGGGATGGGAAGAATGCAAGCTATCTATTTGTTTATTTTAATAAGCAGTCTGTTTATTCAATATGCACAAAAATATTCAAGAGATGATCACTCGAATTCTGCCTCCCAAGGGAGACGGCCTTGTCTTATCTAGTATCAGTCTCATCATTGTTGTTTCAGTTTAAAGAGCTTCCTAAGCATTTCATTAGGTAACAGATACAACTTAGATATTAATTTCTTTATCTAAACTCCTCATTTTCTTACTTCTTTTTGCTGTGCTGTCGAGCTCATCAGAACTGCACTCTAATATTTATTATGTTGTAACGAAAGGACTTATTTTCATGCTAATTTTACTATTAGATAGAAGATAGACATCCTAATTCTCAGTTTTGTCTGTAAATTCTCTATCTACACATAAACACATCATGGTCAGGAGGAGATGACATTTGTTAAATTGGAGAGTTCGCCAAGCCTGTAAATGACCTGGAAACAGGAGACTTTCGATAACAAAACATACCCTCTGACCAGGGACTACGCCGGGACCTCAGACATCTCCATATTGGAAGGATGTTCTGGAGTCTGAAGGGAGAGTATGTATCACTGCTTAATCTACAAAAGTAAATGTTCAGAAAGTTTGGTGCTCTTAAAGACTTACCATTTGCCGCATCCCCAGAGCTTAGATTTTTAGCATACTTTTTAGAAAGACATTTATCAGAAAAAATTATTCAAAAATTGATGGAAACAAATGAGTGAAGTAGGAAAAAAAAGTATAACATTTAAAACCTGAAAATTTTATACAGGATAATATTGCTTTTCTAATTTAAATAAAATAAAATCAGACAATGTAGTGGTTGGTTCAGGTAACAACATAAAGGTTTATTCCTTTAATAGACCAAAATCTGGTTACTTTAGGTCTTAGGAAACTTCTCTTCTGATTTCTGTTTGGGGTTTCCTCTTTCTTCCTTCTCCGCAGGAAGACTCTGGACTTTCCCAGTCGCTTGCACAAACTCAAGTAAAACGAAACCATTTCAGATATTTCATTTCTCAAGAGATTAGGTCAGGATGAGTCAGAAACAAAAATTATTTCCTCCCATTGAAAAAGATGGGCTGAGAATTTTGTGTATGTTGTGTGAATTAGGAGTTCACTCGGGATGTTACGCTATCCAACACGAGAGCTACTGGGCACAGGTGGCTTTTAAGTGCTTGAATTGTGGCTAGCAACACATGGTGAGATGATAATATTTTGGGTATATGATGTTAAACAAAATGTATCATCAAATTAATTGAATGTATCTATTTTTACTTAATATGGATACTAGAAAATTTAAAACTGTACGTGTGACTCAACAGTATTTCTAATAGATGGCACTCTGATGAATATTTGCTCAAGGTCCTCCTGCTCGGAGACAATAGAAAGTCCACATAAAACAACTGGAAAAATTAGACTAGTTTTGCTGAGTACAGAAGTGCTAAATTTGGGCCCAAATTTATTTAGGTGTTTTCCTCAGAACTATGAGAATCTATTACTGCAATTTTTGCATGGATCTGCTTTCACTAACAGGGATTTCTCCCTCTTTCTCTGTCAAAATACATCTATCTGCTCATACTAGAGGTCAGCTACAACCATGACCCCTACTTGTTAAAACCCTTTTTCCCAGGATTTCTCCTCTCTGGCAGTTTTCTTAGGTGATAACAGGGTCGCAGGGACAGATAGCACAATTCATATTGTGTGATGTGTCTTGCAGCTCCTGCAGAAATTGAGGCTGGACCGGATGAGGCAGAAGAAGGTACCCTGAAGCTTTGCCCTCATGAAGAATTCCTGAAACTGTACAAAGAAAGGGCTGGAGAGGTGCTGTGCTCTGTACACTAAATAGAGAAAAAGAAAACGAGTGTTCTCACTAATTACACGATTTCTTAAAGCACTAATTACAGAGTGGCAGGGCTGGGGACAGGGGTAATCTGTTTCATAGATGCTTTGAACAGTAGGAAATCACACGGTCTCACCCAGATTCCAATCCTCTTCCAATCTTATGATAAAATGCAGATCTCTCTCTCTCTCTTTTTTTCATTTATTTGTTTTCATATATATATTTGGGACTATTATTAGAATTCTAGCTGTAGTCATAGAATCAAAATATTTATAAGATAATGTGGCTGAGTAGTAATTGTTTGCATTCTAATGAAAAAAATTAAAGACTGCAAAGCATTAGAAGTTGATGTGTTAAAAATGGTACCAAAATAATAATGTCCCTCAAGGCAGAGAATATTGGTGTATTTATTTTCAGCTGGGTCCAGTGGCAAATGTCTCATGGGTTTCATTAAATTTGATCTGAACCTTGAGTGTTGAGAAAGTTTTGACTAAATGGAGAGGAAAGAGGAGAAGGCAAGGGTAGGAGCTGTTCTAGTCTCTTCTGGATTCTTGCGTAGCCATCACAAATGTGATCTGGATCCTGTCTGGGCTCCTGAAAAGTAATCCACTTCCAATATACCCTCCTTTCCGTTGTCCACTCAATCCCTTACCAAAGGAGGGGAAGGCGGTGTCTTCTAGTACAGGAGAGGAGAGGCAGCTACGTGAGTCCTTAAAAGCAACAGCGGTTGGTGTATGAAGGTCTAAGAGAGAAAGGAAACTCACTGCATATCCACTTCCCGCAGATCTATCCAATAAAGGAGAGGAAGGACCGAACCCGTCTGGCTCTCATTCTATGCAATACAGAGTTTGAGCATCTTCCTGTCAGGGACGGGGCTGCCCTTGACATCATAGGAATGAAGGGGCTGCTTGAGGGCCTTGGCTACTGTGTGGATGTGGAAGAGAGGCTCACGGCCAAGGTGAGGGCACCTTGTGCACCCCAAACACACGTAACTTCAACACATGGCTTCTTACTAACAAGGATGCTTTGTAATGTTAAGCAAATACTTTAACCACCGTCAATCTCACTTCTGTATGAGTGTGTGTGTGTGTGTCTAAGTGTGTAAATGTGTGCTAGAAATCAAGATTATTAGGAGAGGTGATATCTCTGTCTCCATACAGCTCCAAATGTCCTCAATTTCTTAAAGCTGGATGAAGAGTGATTGGCATGTGTACCCACACAGTTCTTAGTTCTAACGTGGGATGACTGAGATTCAGCCCCAGTGTTCCCCAGAAAAGTCCAGAATAATGAATGTTACCAGGCGTGTACTCCCCATGGAAATACTGAGTCCTGACTGTATCCCAGGGGCAATTCCTGGCGTTGGGGATGGGTTTGTAAATGAGACTGAAGGGTCCTAGCTCACACTGATGTAGGTTCACTTGGCAGGGATGATCAAACTATAACAAAACAGAAAATTTCAGAGATTTGATGTGTCTATGTGTCTCTAAGATTGAACAGAAAGTGAAAAGCAAGTGAAAAGGAAAAAAGGAAACATAAGAACAAACCGGTGTGCGGGAAGTAATAGCATTTGATGAGATGGCCAGTGAGAACAGATTTGAGGAGATAATATAGGAGCTGTCATATGACTATCAGAGACAAGCTAGCTCTGGAAAGACATGAATGAAATACATTCCAAGCAGGGATGACTACAAGTGAGAAGTGTGAACTGCACATGAAACTAGCATTGTGAAAAGTACAGAAAAACCAGTGTGACTAGAGCCTAGAGAAGGAGGAAGGTAGGCAGCAGGAAGAAGTATGCATATGTCAGAAGTTTTATTTTATTCTAAGTACAGTGGGAAGTGTTTTAGAAGGGAGGTGATTATGATACATTTATTATTCAAGGTTCTTATTAAGTATTGAGAGAAAAAACAGAGATGGAAGGGAAAATATATTAGTGACAACAAGCAATGGTAAAAATATATCAAAAGGACAGGCTACATCATGTCATCAACAACAGAAAGTGGAACCCACTGATCCATTATAGAAAGAGAAATGAAAGAGCGACCACTGCGTGACGCACCATGATTGGAACTCACAGACGTCTCTGACACTGCTCATGGTAAAGAGGAGGAGGTCGGGTTAGTTTTAATGCTTGTCCTGCTGCAGTAAGACTCTGTGGGCTTTTTCAGGACATGGAATCAGTGCTGCGGAGGTTTGCTGCCCGCCCAGAGCACAAGTCTTCAGACAGCATGTTCTTGGTGCTCATGTCTCACGGCATCCTGGATGGCATCTGCGGAAAGACGCACAGTGATGAGAAACCAGATGTGCTGCCTTACGATACCATCTTCCGCATCTTCAACAACCGCAACTGCCTCAGTCTGAAGGACAAACCCAAGGTCATCATTGTCCAGGCCTGCAGAGGTGGTGAGTCCTGAGATGAAAAGTTCAGAAGCCATAAAGGTACTCACACAGAGGACTGTAACGTAGATTTCATTTCTAGGAGAAACCATCTTAGACCCCATCCAGTGCAAAAAAAAAAAAAATCTGAACTGAATTATTAGGAAATTCCATCCAGGGGGCTGGTATCATAAGAATTTGTCTTGACAGCTGAGAAATTTCCACTCAATTTAATCCAAGGTAAGTGGTGAAGGAGACCAGAATCCTCAAATCAAAGTTAAACACAAATAGGCTGACCTTGGAATGAAGTTCTTTTATTGACAGCTTTACTTGTAAACTTGTAAATGTTTTACAGACATTTTGACGATCTCTGGCTTGAAAAGAATTTCATTTGAAAGTGGGGCTATTATGCAACAGCAGCACTGTTTTTTTTTTGTTTTTTCCTCATACATTATTGAAAGGGAAGTGAGTAGGGAGATGAGGGAACTTGGGGTTGCAGTTAAATTTTTCTTTCTTTTCTTTTCTTTTCTTTTCTTTCTTTCTTTTTTTTTTTTTTTTTCTGACTCCCAGTTGCCTTTTCACTTTTCGGTGCAGCGTTCAAAGAGGAAAAGCAGAAATAATTCAGCTATAAAGTGATAACTATGCTCTGAGACTATGCAGATAAGGCTTTAACTCCTTTGTTATTCTCGGCAAGTGGGTTCTTTTACCACACTGCCACTATTTACTGACATGGCGCCGTCACTATGAATTGGCACATTGCTCAACAGCACTAGAGAGAGGCAAGATGCGGGTGGGGTGGAGATGCAACCACGCGCGCGTGTGTGTGTGTGTGTGTATGAAACTAGTTAGAATAAACATTGTAAAAGAATGAGGTAGACAGTTGTAATAATCACGCTGAGGGAGGCACAATGCACAGAATGTTGATGTCTCTACAGCAAATCGTGGGGAATTGTGGGTCAGTGACGCCCCTCCAGCATGCTTGACAGACAGCTCTTCAGAGCCTCTTGACAACCTGGAGGAAGATGCCGTTTACAAGACGCATGTGGAGAAGGACTTCATTGCTTTCTGCTCCTCAACCCCACGTACGTGTGTCTCTCAGTTGCCGACAGTGATCTGTGGGTCTGAAGCTACCCCTGCTTGATTCTGGAAAATCAAGATAGTCTCAGTGCAGCAACAATTTTAGTAACAATTTTGAGTGCTATCAAAATATTCTACTTTTCTTCCCACTTTTAAAAATTGACTTTGATTATACGTTGGTTGCACTTTAGAGCCAAAGGTATAGCAAACATTAGAACAACTGAATACAAGGAAACCCCTTCACCATCACAACAGTTAAAAAGCAAATGATCAGTTGTCAGTTAACTTCATTTAAGGTTTTGAGTAGAATTTGTATGGACCTAGGGACTGACTGTTCTTTCTGAAAAATTGTCATCTATAAGGCATCTTTTTTTACCGTATTTCCCATCTGGATGCCAGTTAGAGTAGTGTCATAGAGTGTCAGCAAGAAGGGAGATGATCTTTAAAAAGAGGAAGAAAATGATACAATGGGGGTATTAGACCTGATAACAGGGAGCAGTGCTTAGTCCTTGACCTCTAGGTAATCATCTTAAGAAGACTTACATTGGAGTGTTTCTAACTTGCAAATTTTATTTTAAGTCCTTTTACCACTTTATAAAGGTATAAATAATATATAAAAAGCTGTATGTTTTTAATATATATATATGTTAATGAGTTTGGAGATAAGTACATACCTGTGAAACCATTACCACTATCTATGCCAAAAATATATTCCTCCCCTCCAAAAGTTTAGTCTAGACCTGTCCTTTTATTTTGTTTACTGTGTTGCAAAAGACAGCATGATATGCAATCTGTAAACAACTGCTTGTGTGAACATGGGGAATTTCTTAATCCTTCTGAGCTCCTATTCCTTCCTCTGTAAAATGAGGTAATTACAGTTATCTCTCAAGCCTCCTTTCAGAGCAAAAGTGAATAAATATTAGTGACATACTAGAAAGTCAATCCCCAAAATACAATGCAATCACTATGTAATGTTCTGCAGTTTTGGTGAGCTGCCCCTTTAGTTCATGGAACGTTCTCATGGAAATTGAGTTCATGGAAGATTCTTCCCCTAAACATGTCAAGAAAATTCCCAAGCTATGCTTAAAAAGAGAAAAAAAAAAAGTGGAAAAAAATAATGGTGAAGGCCACAACTCAAGGCTTATCACTCCTTATCTTCATAGATAATGTGTCCTGGAGAGATATCACAAAGGGTTCTCTCTTCATTACACGAC